CTTGTGCACCCGTGAGCCGTGGTTCCGCTGGAACGCGTCTGACCTCTGACAGACGCACTCTGAACTTCAGATCTTCAGCGCGCTGTTAATAGCCTGAATGGGAATCATTTCTTGATTTATTTTGTTACATCCACAATGTTCTGTGAGTGAGGTTTACAATGTCAGAACACCTGCATGAGACAGGTGTTAATTACAATCTGCCAGAATGACTCGCCACCTTCAGATTCCTCCAACACCGTTAAAAATGATCAAATACGGAACATGTCGGCGTGCTCAGGCCAGAGTGCTGAAGCTCGGCGCATTGTTATTATGAAGCTAGGGCACATGTGGAGGACACACGCGCAAAAATATACTTGTTTTCAATTACATTTATTTACACTTACTTTTTCTTAGGCCCACCCACAAATGAGTTTCTATGCTAATGGTGACATATGAGACTTCTCTGAGCTCCGCAGCCATTACACTTTTCACCTCGCGCACCCCCTAGGGGCAGCTCACGCACCCCCGGGGGTGCGCGCACCACACTTTGGGAGTCCCTGCTCTAGGATAACAAAACTTCCCCCCCTCTAGAGACCCCGACCCCGGACGAGTTACGAGTGAAAGCAGCATCGCCTGGAGCTGGTGTGACCCGTCTACAGGGCTTTGCATCCGTATCCCAGGTTACCCTCGACTCAGCTACAGACGAGTGGAGTCCAGGACAGACTGGGACATATTTGAACACCAGGACCTAGAAACTTTCACAGGATCAGTACTGGACTACATCAAGTTCTGTACTGCAAATGTGACAGTGGACAAAAGCATTCGGGTTTTTCCAAATCAAAAAGCCTGGATGACCAGCGAGGTCCGCTCACTCCTCAAAGTCCGTGATGCCGCCTTCAGGTCAGGTGACAGGGCTCTGTACAGGGCTGCTCGAGCTAACCTGAAAAGGGGGATTAAAAAAGCCAAGTCAGACCACAAAAGGAATATCGAGTCCCACCTGTCCAGCAACAACACACGAGAGGTGTGGCATGGAATGCGAGACATCACCAACCACAGAAGCAGCACTGCAAAAACTGAAAACCTGAGTGTGCAGCTGGCAGAGGAAATAAACAGCTTCTTTGCCCGCTTTGAAACACCACAGCAGCAACACTCATCTGCTTCAGCCCTGCTACCATCCTCATCCTCACCTGGTTCTTACACCGCTCCACTCACTGTAACGGAGCACGATGTCAGACGTGTGCTCCTAGCAGTGAACCCCAGGAAGGCGGCCGGTCCAGACGGAGTACCTGGCAAAGTACTAAGAGCATGCGCACACCAGCTCAGCCTCATCTTCACCAGACTCTTCAACCTCTCACTGGATCAGGCAGCCATCCCGTCCTGTCTAAAATCAGCCACAATCATCCCAGTACCAAAGAAGTCTCCCATCTCCAGCTTAAATGATTACCGCCCTGTGGCCCTCACACCGGTAATCATGAAATGCTTTGAGAGACTACTCCTTCAGCACATAAAGGATCACCTCCCCCCAGAATTCGACCCCCACCAGTTTGTATACCGTGCAAACAGATCAACAGAAGATGCCATTGCCACAGCCCTCCACGCTGTGCTGAGTCACCTAGAGCAGCGGCAGAGCTACGTCTGAATGCTCTTTGTGGACTACAGCTCAGCCTTTAATACAATCATCCCGGACATCCTCATCAACAAACTGGTCACTCTTGGCATCCCTCCTCTCACGTGTGCCTGGATAAAGGATTTCCTCACAAACCGGCCCCAGACTGTGAGACTCGGCCCTCATCTCTCCTCCACTCGCACACTGAGCACCGGCTCCCCACAGGGCTGTGTGCTGAGCCCCCTCCTGTATTCTCTGTACACCCACGACTGCAGTCCGACCCACAATAACACTCTCATCATCAAGTTTGCTGATGACACCACGGTAGTCGGACTCATCTCGAAGGGAGTCGAGGCAGAGTACAGAGAGGAAGTCCTGAAGTTGGCAGCATGGTGTTCAGAAAACAACCTGTCCCTGAACACCAAGAAAACAAAAGAGCTTATTGCCGACTTCAGGAGACACAGCACCGACTTGGCCCCCCTCTACATCAACGGGGAGTGTGTGGAAAGGGTCCACACATTCCGGTTCCTTGGTGTCCTCATCTCTGCTGACATCTCCTGGGCGGAAAACATCTCAGCGTTTATCAAGAAGGCCGAACAGCGGCTGCACTTCCTGAGAGTCCTCAGGAAGTACAAACTGAACTCCGACCTGCTGCTGACCTTCTACCGCTCGTCCATTGAGAGCCTGCTAACCTACTGTATCACGGTATGGTACGGCAGCTGCACCAAGGCGGATAGAGTGAGGCTTCAGAGTGTGGTAAAGACAGCACAGAAGATCATCGGCTGTCCTCTCCCCTCCATGATGGACATTTATTCCTCCCGCTGTCTCAGTAGGGCAGCAAACATCATCAAGGACAGCTCCCACCCTGGCTTCAACATGTTCAGACTGCTTCCCTCAGGGAAGTGCTTCAGGTGCATTAATACAAAAACCCGCAGACTCAAAAACAGTTTCTTCCCCAAAGCAATAACCACCCTGAACTCACACATGCACCAATAACACAGCCCCCCCCCCCCCCCACTTCCCACTTCCTCCATTGACCACCACTATCTATTGATGCCAAATTCCATGTGCAATAATTGTATATACATAACATTACTGTCCATATGTACATAGCGCTGCAGAATTGTACCCCCCCCCCCCCCCCCAAGTATGTTTTTTTACACTGAGTAGGAGATGCTCTGTATCTCACTTTACACCTGTAAAGGCATTCTATTCTATTCTATTCTATTCTATTCTATTCTATTCTAGGACCAGGAGAGTGTGGAAAAGATTTCTCCTTGGCCAACACTTTTCCCTGGACTCAGATCCGAGAGGTAAGTCCAGAGGGCAGTGCCCACTTTCAGCTATAAAGTCTGGCATTGTTGCTCGCACAGTTGCAAAAGACTTGCAAGCTGAAGCTTTGCTTGATTAAATGTATTTAGTCAAGGGGTTGCCACCTGTTGGATCACAAATAAATGCATTAAATGCGATGCGCCGATCGTTGCTCTGACTTTCCAGTTAAAATTAGAAAGAGGATCTGACGGAAATGGAATAAGCAAGCAAAATAGAAAGGCAGAGGTGAAGCTTTAGAAGAGAAACCTTTAATCGTAGAGGGAGATTAATAACCTCTCTAAAAGTAAACCCACGTCTTTTACCACAGTTTCTGCTCGTTAAACAACAACAGACAGCTACAGCTCATAAGCTTGACTCTCCCATATTCCAGTTAGAACTGACTAAGCTCCTCAGATTAAAAGCCAAACTTCTTCAAGGAACCAGAGAAGTCTAGTTGCCTTCATTTGAACCCTTTGGATTACCATGACCTGGATGACTGACAACCTTCAACATCAAATTGAAACATTAGCTTCTATTTTGGGTTAACGTATGAAAGTCCGCTCTGCAGCAGCCTCTTCGTGAGCTCACCACAACTCATGTTAATGCAGAAACATGGACGTAATTTTCACTTTAGAAGTTGGGGGGGGGGGGGGGGGTGCACGGAGGAGGGGGGCGGGGTATCTTTATGGTATGCTCTAATGGGAAACAGGCTTCAACACAAACGGTTGTTTTCCGCTTGGTCCTAGAGCTCATCCAGTGTTAATTTAATATAGCGTAATATTGTTTTGGATGGTAAAAAGTGCAGGGGTCAAACTTGACTTTGGAAAAAGTGGGGGGGACATGTCCCCCCTGTCCCCCCCAAAATTACGTCCATGTGCAGAAGCATTTGTTATTCCAGTCCCTGTGGCAGCAGATCGCGGATTCAGCCAGAACATAAAACAGCAACAAGTCTGTCTGAGGCAAAGTGAACCTCACGGCTGTAGATGTTTCAGTTTTTCCCTGGAGACATATGATCACGCACAAGCAGATGACCAGTTCAGGTTTTCACGGAGCAGAAGGATGGTGAGAGAGCGTTCTGGCCTCAAGCGGAAGCATTACATTGCATTGTTTACCGAGGCACTTTAAATATCATTTCATTGTATGATGGCCTGTGTAAGGAAAAATAATGTTTAATCACATGTATTCATGTTTATGGTTATTCATCAGTATGCTTTGTGAAAATAAGGTTTGATCACACATGTATTTTTATGCTTATAATTAATCACCTGTATGTTAATCCCCATATTAATCATTTCAATGTTCGGGTGTTACTCACGTCCCTTTGAACTGAACGATGCATATACCAAATGGATGACTCACCTGTGACTGGAACGTTCTAGCACTGAGTTAGACCTATATCTGATTTATGCAGGCTGATACTGCTAGAAGTTTCAGCTTGTGCTGAAGGAGATTCTCAACAGGCGAAGGCCAGGTGCAGACTAGACCATCTAAAAGCTGTTCAACGGGAAAAAGCCAGGGCGTAGGTCATCGCAGCCTTAGCAAAGGAAGATAGGGTAGGAAGCAGATGGGGCAATGTGTCTCCCATCTTATCTGGACGAGGGAGTGAAAGCAGAGAGGGGTGTCAGTTACCATGGCAACAGGTGATGGCCTTCAATAAAGTTAGGGAGGGGTCAACATGAAACTTTGCAGCATGAGAGGAAGAATCAAAAGGTGTACATCTTGTAAAATATTCAGATTTGTCACAGGGACTGGGGTGGCAGAATCTCTCCTAATGCATGTGGAAAATAAAGTGTGATGATTGCAACATAAGGCAACTTGTGGCTTACTTCTTGTCCCACGCCCTGGTTGTAACTGCCTTCTATAATTTTGTACATAACTGTAACAGAAATGTTGTGACTGTATCTTTTGCTGCCTCTTGGCCAGGGCTCCCTCAAAACTGAGAACTTTAATCTCAATGGAACCTTCCAGGTTAAATAAAGAATATAAAAATAAGTAAATAAAATGTATTTAGATAATGAAACGTCAAAAAGCAAAAATATTTTACTTGTTTGTCAGTGCATTTGAAGAAACAACTTAAAATGTTATTTATTTAACCAAATGAGTCGATAGAGAACTCATTCTCATTTACAACAACGATCTGGCCAAGAGGCAGCAGCAACAGACACATAATTAGCTTTACATCAAAGAAAAACAAATGAGATAAAAACAAACTAGATTAAAATAAAGTAAATTACAAAATTATTATAACAGGTGTAAAACTAACTTGTCTTTACTTTAAGTAATTGTTTGAGGAAGATATCACATGTTATGTGTGTTTTATTAGTCCCATTCTGAACACACAGGTGTGTTTTATTCTGCTCCAGCAGGTGGCGCTAGTGCACCTTTACGCTGGTCACCGACCACCTGAAGAAGCAGAAACCGGAAGCTGCTAGCTGAGCTAGCTTGTTGTTCTGGTGTGTGAGGAGAACATTTGAGGCTCTGCAGTAAAAATGTCTTCACTTCAGTCTCTGGGAGAGTTGATCAGCTAAAGCGACTAACTGCTGCTGCTGCAGAAATCTTCTCACCAGGCTGTGGAAACTTTCTTTTCCTCCTCAACAACTTGGTGGAGTTCTTTCCAGAAGCAGAGAAGATATTCTGCGGTCTTCGTGACAATCGGAGCTCCAGAATCAGGTTGTGGGTGAGAAAAGCTTTTCTCTAGACTTCCTGCCCTCTGGATCTGCTGCTGTTCCTTTGGCCTCTCTGAGAAACGCGCTCGTTTTGCTGCTTTCATCAGATTGAAGAGGTTCCCTCTATCAGACTCGCTCATCTGAGTTGGTCATGATGCAGGATCGCTGCTCGCTCTCTCATCCATCCTGCTCACACTCTCCGACGGAAAAGCCCCGAATCTGAATGTGACTCTGGAGGAAAAAGCGGTTAGCTCTACTCCGTGAACTCTGGTGAGCAAAGGTCCTCTTTTCCAGACTGGATCTGTCCTCAGCTGATCAGAACCAAAGCGTTGGATCTTTAATCTCCTGCGTTGTTCTGAAGCAGCATCTTAATCAGCTCTCCTGCTTTGTTTCTATTGCAGCTGTTAGCTAAACACGGCTAAAGAAAACCTGCTACCACTTCAGGATCATCCATCAGCTGGGACTGATTCATCGTGTGTTCTTCACCACCTGGACCTGGACAGCATGGACACAGGTACTGGTGGATGAATGAATGAATACATGGTCAGTCTATGGTGGGACATTACAGTGAAATTATGAGAATGAGGTTCAATCTTTAAAATAATGATCTGTATATGTTTAGCACTACTGGGGTTCTAAACCCCCCAAAGCGTTTTACATCACAACCAGTCATTCACTCATTCACACACTGTTGTAGAACCTTGTAGTTTTAGAGTGATTAGATCTCTCTAATGAATGATTTTTGAAGCCAAGTATAGATAAAGTCCCAAAGTCATCGTCACACACTGGTGAAGTTACGTCCTGCATTCGTCCCGTCCCCATGGGGAGCGGTGAGATGAAGCTGTGGGAACTATTTGGTCTTCTGTCGGGTTTCAGTCACTACGAGAATCAGTCAGAGACAGGAGAGGTTTTCATCGTGTTCACAACCTACCTTTGTTGTAGCGTCAGTCACGCATCATCATTTGACCAATCACAGTTGGGGAGACAGCCTGCTGCAGACACGACGGCAGCGGCGCTGACAGCACGTATGACTGCTGTTGCTTCAGCACGTCGCTGTGGTTTAGAGCTTAAAGGCCCAGTGTGTAAAAACATTCGACTCTTCAGCGCCACGCAGTTCAGAGTAAGTATTGCAGCTCCGGTAGCCCACACTAGGGTTGGGCTGTTTTTCCATTCGCCCATCATTAGTCCAGTAAATGACGATGGGCCGTGGTGTGTGCGTGTGACTGATTACGGTATGATTCACTGACTGATTTGCGAACACAGAAGAAGTCTAAACATGGATGTTTTTATGGATGTGCAGCACAAATTAGATTTTTCTTTTTGTTTAACTCACTCACTGCCAGCCGTTTCCTGATCAGAAAAGCTCTTCGCTGCCAGCGTTTTTCAGCGTTTTTACTGTTTTTTTAAGAGTCACAGAACGTTGCTCTATGATGATGTCAACGCCAAAACTACCAAAACAAAGAGTAGACTCACCTCTTACAGGAAGAATCCGCGCGTTTTGAGTGTTATCTGTTCTTTCATAAGCCGTTGTTGAATTGTGATCGGCAGAAGCTTTTCCAGTTCTCGCCTCACTTTTTTTTTACAGCAGCGTCCCAAAACGATCTCCTAACACACACGTGTCAGACACCATGTGGCCCGTGGAGCATTTTTATGTGGCCCGCGAGATAATTATCAAAAATATATTAAAACTGACCCGCTAAGACTACAACTCCCATGATGCTTTGCGGTGTTAGCTCGGAGCCGAAGCGCCCCCTCCTTTGTGTTTTTTCCAGCGTCTGCTGCCGGTGTCTGCAGCTCCGCTGTCTCGGACAAACTAAACACTCCTCTCACTCAGCGCCGAGTTCACTCAGCTATTTTCTGATGTTGAAGCCCAGAAACGGAGATTCTAGCTGCTCAGTAATGTGTTCACGACTGAAAGAGAAAGTTTTCAAGCTAACTTCCAGACAGAGCTGATATAACTCCAGCGAGCAGCGACACGCTCAAACCAGCATGACTCTGTGGCTGCTGTAGTTGTGTTTCCTCCCCGACACACAACGACGTGGTCAAGCTGCTCAGACATGTTCATCAGCACAAACCTATGTGAGCACTTGTTGTCAACTAATGTTGTCATTATTATGATGAAGATGAACAAAACAACAGGAGTCTCCTCAGCTCAGATCAACCCCATGATGCAGGTATCTGGCTGGAACAGGTGAGCATCACAGTAAACCAGTGGAGCAAACTGAGCTTTAAATATGTTGGTTTTCTGCTCTTTTTCTGCTCCAAAACATGAAAGTTAACAGGTGAGATGTTGCATTTTCATTTAAGATAAAATGATATTTTTATTTTGTTGTTGGCCCGTGAGAAAAGATTTAACCTACAGTAAACAGGAAGTGGAAAGGCTGCAGATAGATGAATAGAATAGAAAATCCCTTTATTGTTCCTCAGTGGGGAAAGCTAGACGTCACAGCAGCGATGACACGTATTACAGGAGAAAAAAGGAGAATAAAAAATAAGAAAAATGAATAAACAACAAGAAAACATAAATCCTGAACAGATTTTAAAAATGCTGAATATACCACAAGTAATGAATACCACTGATGCCTTTTATTTAAAACTGACTTGCTCGTGTGTAATCTGGTTATTCCACATTCAGTGTTAATGCAGAAATAAGTTTGTTTCCAAATTAAAAGGTTCTAAATTGCATAAATGTTGATAAAGAAAATGTGCAAATTTGCCGTCACTTTTAAAAAAAATATCAAGTTTGTCCCTTGACTTCGTCCCAGATTTACATTTCGGCCCAGTGTGAGTTTGAGTTTGACTCCCCTGATCTAACACGTGGACTTTCTGCTTCCTGATCACGTGACGTGTGACGTACGCGGATGAAGATCGGCTTTAGAGCTGGGATGTTTGTTCTCGCGGTGCGGGGGCTCGTTCCGACGCCCACACAGTAAAAACATGCCGATGACAGTTAAAGAGTTGTTAAAGCGTTGAAAGGAAGTAGGGCTGAAACGAATCATCAAATGGTTCGATTCATTAAGTTCCTCGATTCATTTTTTACTGATTCGAAGCTTCGTTAAACGTGCGCTCCACAGTCTGAACACATTTTACTGGAGCTCTACGTGGTGATCTCGGTGCTGTGGTGGAAAAAAGAGAAACCAGCAACGACGGAAACCATCGTTAGAGGCAGAAACGGTCCAACGTTTGGATCAAGAGTTAAACTACAAGCAAACTACTGAATTGGCTGACTGAGTGGAGGTGGTTCATAGATGTCGCAACCTTTATGTCAGAAGGGACCCCCCCCACCACACACACACACACACACCTTTTGCTCTTTCCATTGTTCTCAAAGAAATCCATTCCACTTGATTCATTAGAAATGACTCAGTCGGCTGAAGTCCGTTCCACGTTTTCCTGGTTGCTCTGCTGCACGCATGGTGGGCGTGACTGACATGGTTGTCAACAAAGTTAGAAAATAAAAGACCGAACGAACCAAAGTGAAACTACAGGCTTGTGGAAGCTGGAGGAGGAGTCAGTGCCATTACTATCCCATAATAAGCAGTGTCCTTGTCTGATCCCTCCACAGACACGGGGACATGAGGACATTTCTCACAAAGAAGCATAAAATAAGTAAAACTGTCCAGAATGAATGCTGACAGATGCTTTGAAACCCTCCGTCCCCCAGTTCTGGTTAGAACTGGGTTTGCCCGCGGGTCATCTGGGTGAGGCCACAGAACCTGCAAAGACTCTCAAAAGGTCTGGAAAACAACCGGTTCGGCTGGCTTCGGTGAAGTGGAGACGGTCATACTGGGAAGTTTCGGTAATGGAAACACACCAATTAGTGCCTGGCTGTCCTATAAAAGACACCCATTCCTCCTTTTTGTGTGAGGATGCCAGCTGGTCCTGTTCCCCTGCAGATAGCTCATCAGTACTTAATACAAGTTGTTTATTGTTTATCTACGTTGGTGTTAGTTTGGGATGTTCTGATCATACCAGCAACACCTGTGTGAACCCTGTGTGGTGCACTTGGGCTTCTTCCCCTTTTCCTTCATGCTGTGCAGGACAGCAGCAACAATGTAAAACAACATGTCCGCCTAACTTTAACTCTGTCTGCGAGAGTGATGTAAGCTTTGAGTCCTGCAATGAAAAGCTCCAGCTCCTGGGGAAGCTGATCACAGCTGGTTTAATAAGATGTGAAGAACAACATCTGGGTGGAGTGAGGTGAGTTTCCAGGGATCGCTGCAGAGATAAACACCTCCCAGTCAGACGCAGCTACGCTCACCAACACCCGTCTGTATGAGCGTCAGAAGGCTCGGCTAATAACCGGACCATAAGGAAGTTCATGATGCTGGAAGAGCAGCCTTTCTTTGTGGTGGAAGAAGAACCAAGTTTATTCATACAGCACGTGTCCCAGACTGAGGTCACACAAGGAGTTACAATAAAACGCTGAACACTAAAGCTAGAACATAAGACAATGAGTAGAAAACAACAGGCTCCGCCCACTGCTCAATCACCAAGCAACCCACTACAGGACATATAATAATAACAACTACAATAATAATCATTATAATAATATAATAACAACAATAAATCTCCCAAAATGCTCATTTGTAAGGTTCCTTTGCTTTGTAGTGCTTTAGCCTGCTGAGAGCTTAAAAGTGAAAGGTTGTTACTGACAGCAGCTACATCTAAGTGTTTATTCATTTTCCTTTTGACTGAATAGTTGCTGATTTGATCTTGGAGACGTTTCTCCTCACATCAGCTTCAGATCTAAAGAATGATTTGTGAGTAGGTGTTGCGCTGACCTTAGAGGTGTGGCTGCCCCTCTCTATTGTTCCTCATCCTTTCCCTACATGCTGACTCCGTTGCGCGTTGCCAGCGCGTGACCGCAGATGGAACCTGCGTGCGCTCCGGCGCGCGCCTCGCCAGGTGAGCAGAATTGAGGCAATTAAGAGCTCGTGCTCGGGGGAAATGAAGTACAGCCAAAATGTCTGCAACAAGCTTTTGCCCAGCGCGCGGCAGACTGAGAGGAGTGCAGAGCGAACACAAATGGGTACACTGTGAGGAGGAAGACTTTGATCTTGACGGGCTGTCGGTAAGCTCTTGGATTCACGTCTTTATATGGACTCTTTATCCGTCTGGGTGTGAATGGAATTTACTGAGAGGAAGTGTGTTAACGTCTGGAGTGCCAGAAATGACTGCAGGAATAATAGTAAATTAAATGAAAGCAAGTTAAGGCAGAAAACAGATGTATTCATGTATTTAATTATTTGTCTGGTAAAATCAGTCTTTTTTCATCCTTGCTTCATTGTGAAATGATTCATCTCTGAATTAGCAGCCAGTACTTGTAAAAGCAGATAGAATAGTACTTGTCTAAAACTAGACGCCCAACTGAAGGTTACTAAAGATGCTGGTGTGTTCTCCTTGCTCTGTATTACCTGTAACAGCATTGAAGTTTATCTGCATGATTTAGTTACATGTTTATTTTTGTTATTTAAAGCTTTTCCACCTGACTGGTTCCTGAACCCGGACTGATCTCAGTACTGGTCAAATAAATTGTTCTGAGTGAAATCCAAAGTCTGCTCTTTCCAAGTGTCGGCACCTCACAGTGGAAGAAAACACTTGACAGTAGGAGGCTTAGAAGTTCTGGTCAGAACCAAACACGCTGATTGTGATGGAAGTTTTTATTGATCCTAAAGTAGAAATATGTTTTTATCTAAATGAAGTTCATGTTCTTGTTCCTTTTCCCCACATCATGTAGCCGGTATCACTCGTGGTGTAAATATAAAGGTATGGTGGTGTGTAACATCATGTGTCTGTGTTTCCTACAGATGTTCAACAGCTGGTGCTGGTTAAAGAAGAAGATCCTGAAGAACAGAGTGCTGGTGTGGACCAGCAGGACCCAGAACACCTCCACATAAAGGAGGAACAGGAGGAGCTCTGGACCAGTCTGGAGGGAGAGCATCTCTGTTTGAAGGAGGAGACTGAAGCTGTCGGGTCTCCTGTTACTGCTGTTTCTATAAAGAGTGAGGATGATGAAGAGAAACCTCTGGTCTCACAGCTTCATCAGCAGCAAATAGAAGACAGAGATGTTCCAACCAGCAGCTCAGCTGACCAGATGACCGCAGAAACTGGTGGAGGAGCAGGAACTAGCAGGAACCCAGATCTGAACCCTCATGAACAAACATCTGATTCTTCAGAGACTGAAGTTAGTGGAGATGATGATGATGAAGATGATGATGATGATGATGATGTGAATCTGGACTCTGAGCTGTCAGACTCTGGGTCTGAAACTGGAGATGAAGATGATGATGATGATGATGATGTGAATCTGGACTCTGAGCTGTCAGACTCTGGGTCTGAAACTGGAGATGAAGATGATGACTGGAATGAGAGCAGGTCTTCTGAGTCAGATGGTAAGTCTGTCAACAAGTTCTTCACAAGTGGTCTCTCCAGAGACACGTGAGGGAGACGAGTCATCCAGCAGTCAGGTCTTCAGGCTGTTTGGTTCATAAGAAATGTGTTAGAGTGAAGCAACATGTAGACTCGTGCAGGAAAGTCCAGAAGAAACCTAAATCATTTAGTCATGATGACTGGAGAAAGGTTTACTACAAATGTAAACAAACAAATCACATGAGAGTCCACACATAGCAGCTGCTGTTCCAGAGTATGGGCCAGCCTCATCCCACCCATACTCTGCTTCTGGCCGCTAACAAGATGGCGCCTGTGTTTGGAATAGCCACAGGTCCGTTTCCACATTCCCGCCTGGCCACGGGGCAGCGCCGTGTCTCCGTCCATGTTTCCTCGGGTCTGTTTATCCTGGTTCTTCAGTGGTTTCCCTTCCTGTTCCCTCCATGAGTGGACTTTACACACCGTGGATCTGACCTGCTAACTCCAGCTGTTTCTGCTTCTGGCAGGATCCTGGTGTAGGTACCCAGGGAGTCCAGATGCTGCAAGATGAAGTGTAGAGCCATGCTGATGGTGTAACGTGATGGAAGTGGTTACTTTTACTGAATGATCAATAAGATGTGATATTCCATCTAATTATAAATGATCAATCTTATTGGTCTTTGAATATTTGATTTAATACGACCTTAGGAACACACACTTAATATTAATTCAGACAGATTCAAGAATATAGTTTATAAAAATGAGTTTAATTCTATATTTCTAAACTAATGATTACATGACTGTTAGGGATTGTATCAATAACCCAATACCTGCAGCTGGAGAGAGAGGAGAGACAATAAGCAGACAAGTCACCAAACTGCAATCAGGGGCAGAAGCTTGGGGAGAAATTATGACACGTCTCTAAATAAAATAAAATTTTCTAGTGCAGAGTGGAGACAACCCATAGAAGCACTGATTTGATCTCATTTCAGAGAAAAATAGAACAGGTTAGATGCACCTAATAAATAAAATTATAACAAACTCAGGAATCTGTTTCTTTGCTTCACTGTTCTGGTGCTGAGAATATCACTAATGCGGATCAAAGGAGATCCACAGATGAATGCACCTCTTATTTATTATTTGGAGACTACATTTACTGCAGCTGGCAGAGGCAGAGATTTTTTCTATTGATACACTGAATTTACAGAATCATTTTAAATGTTAATAGGGGAAGACTGCAGGAGGGAGCGGTAAAATACAGGGGGTCCCCAGCAAAAACAAGAAACTTTACGAGTCTGATGAAACCCGCTGGTTTTCCATCAGGCAGTCACGGGGCAGCTCCAACGACCCAGTGGCTGTGCTGGGTCAATGTTATCGAGCTCAGTCGAGGCGACGTCGTGCTCTGCTTAAGAAGAGGTGTTATTTTCCCGCTTCAGAAGAAGAGTCCAACGTGTTTTTACGCTTTCTCCGAGACATGTCACGTCGCTAAGTTGTTAGCGCCGCGCGCTAACACGTCAATAGTGCAGCGTAGCCTGCTGGAGGTTTTAAGGGTTCAGATGAAAACACCCGACCTCTCAGGCTGCTCACACATCGATCTTAAGTTGTCGCTGTTGAGCTCACATCGTAATACAGTATTAGATGCGGTTAAAGTCAGACATGAAAAAATAAATAAATTTTACATGATGTAGCGTAATGGTTGTTGGCTATTTTATGAAAGATGAACCATTCTACATAATAATCTGGAATATTAATTTTTAACAAATTAATAACCAAATGTTATAAAGATAAGAAGACTCAAAGGTTGTTTTCATCGATAAACTGACGATCATATCCGTTTGTTTGTGTTTCATTTCAATGAAAAGGCGAGTTTAAATTTTAAGAGATTTATTTCTTCAATTTAAACTAACGATTTGAAATGATAATCAAAGGAAAAACAATCAACATGGGCAACCTTGTTGGACAATCTTTAACAGTTGATATTTTAAGCTTGCTCAAACAGACCTTGTGTTGGTTGGGCTAAATTTGAGGATGATGGAATTATGAATGCGTGCAGGCAGGTGTCTGAGATTGCTTCAGGGAGAGAGAAGGTGAACTGAGTGAAAAATGATGTTTTGCAATTAAACTTTAGTTCTTATTAGAAAAACAGCATCAGAACGCTATCTATCGTGTTCTGCCTCACCGAACTTAGGACCCCCTTTTAGATCCGGACCTCGGAGGATGTGTTATCCAGATGACACCTTGGCTGGCAGAGAAGACAAAGGTATGCGACGGTCCAGTCCCGGGTTGACCTCGGTACACATTGCTGAAGCGTTTCGGCAGATGCGCTTTCTCATGTTTAAATTAACTCAGAAATCAAAAGACTCTGGGACGAGTCTGCGTTAGCTGGTTGCATTTTAGCTATTCTGTCTGGCTTGACAGAAATAGCGTGGGGGGGAGAAAAGAAGCCGGCAGGGCTTCTTTCCCCGTGGCGTTCGTTCCGCACTTCCGCTCTCTTCCATTCTCACTCTCGTTCTGACTCCTTACCCAAAACACTTCTCTTCCCAAAGCAAACTTCTTGTGCGTCAGAGCAAATGTGTTTTGAGTTACTGTGGAGTCGGACCTGTATGAGCAGGTGTGAAGGTCACTGCTAAACATCTTCAAAAACATTATTTAATTAAGTATTGATTCATTATAGTTCATTATGATTACCCAAAGCATAATAATCATTCATTTGATTAAAGTACATTTATAATGAGCAAAGTGATCAAATGATTATTTAACAAAAATAAAGAAAGCTTAAGACTGTTTTATTATGACTAGACTGTGTGTGAAGTCCTTCTTCTGGAGAGCAGGTGTTCGGATGTTGTGGATTCCTTCAGACTTGCTGGCGGCTTAGGTCTTAATCTGTGGGTGAAGTTGCTGCTTGACCCAGCTTTGACCCAGCCGGGCAAATACGACCTTTGGCACAGAAACCCATACTTCCTCATGTTACAATGAATAAGTGATGATTAGCCTGGTGGGGGGAGGAAACCCTGTCAAGATCGTCAACGCTCATTTATCTTAATGCTATTGAAACATGTAAACCAAAAAGCATTATATCCACTGCTACCTTTATGCTGTAACTTCACCCTGCCCTGCCTGCTCCTCCTTGCTGCCTGCCGGCTGTGATCACAAGCGACAACATAGTAGTTCCCGCTGCTTCCTCGGGAAACAGCTAAAAAAAATAAATAAATAAAACTTGGAATCTTGTAGGCGTGGCGGTGGGATTTCAGCCGTGGCGGGCCGCCACGGCTACGCCTATGTAAGGGAAACCCTGACAACTGTTTATGAAATAACGTTACCTTAATTATTGACATATTTTCCTGGTTTACATTATGTTGTTTGAAACCAAGGGTCTCATTATCTGAACTTTTTAACTTGTTGGATCATGAATCTGTTTAAAAACTTTGCTCTATATCAGGGTTTTTCCTGGCTCAGACTGAGGCAGAGGTGGTACCATCCTGACCGTGCGCCAGCACATGCGTACTCTGTGCATTCAACTGCCTCACTTTTTTAAAGGCCAAATATGTTTTCGTTAAGTGTCACGATGTGGAGGGAAGGTGAGGGAGGAAGAGCGGATCCTTCAGGCAGGTAAATCAACCCAGGCCAGACAGCAGCAGACATTTGGTTCCTCTTTAATGGTCAGGAGTGCAGACACGACAGGGTAGACAGATGTGAACATAAACTGACATGTAACGAGTACGAACCGACAAAACCACAAGCAACACACAAGGCTTATATACACACTGGGATGGGTAATCAGGTAACAAGAGGCAGGTGGACACAATTAAGGAAAAACTCAAGGCACAGGGGAGCAATAATGTGACAGTTAAGTGTTCCAATCTAAGCTTCTGGCGATTAATAGAATATTCCATTTAGAGCTGAAACAACTAATCGATTTAATCGATTATTAAAATAGTTAACTTTTTTAGTCATCGATTAGTTGTTTAATAATCACATTTTACCGCATAAAGTCTATTTTTTACCACAATCTGACATCGGTTACAATCTGTTAAATTTGCCGCCAGTGTGTGGCAGTAATGAGCCACTGATCTACCAGTGGAGCCGTAGAGAAGAAATGAGCCAATAAGTGCCCTCGGTTTTCATGATGTAACACGTTACTGACGCTCATCTTGCTTTGAGAAATGGCGGAACAAGAAGAAATATGGAAGAAAAATAGAAGCGACAAAACAATAGAAACCCCGGACAAAAACCTCACGAGTATGGGAGCACTTCACTCTAGATGCCTTGAAAAGACGGGTGACCTGCAAAATATGCAAAAACCATCTAGCATGGCACGGAAGCACGACATCCCTAAGTGAACATTTGAGACGAAAACGTGGGGGGTGATGCAGCAGAGGAAAGTCCGGTAAATCCGGTAAGTAACAGAAAATAAACAAGCTAACGCAGATCAAATTTGGGAGCTGAGTTCGTTATAGTGGATGTTAAACATGTTTTTTTGCCGCATCAGTCTACGGTGTTCTACTTCTGATTGACGAGATGCAATCGTGAATCTCCGTGTTGTGTATCATGCGCTTGCCAAATTTAGCACGTTTGTTTATAAGAATGTTCTCGTTAAGAGAAAAACGGCACAAACCCATAACTGTGTTCCTCATTCAAAAAAGGACAACTCCGCGGAGAAAAATATACAGACGAGCTGTGTCCAGGTGAATATAACGCGGCATAGTTGTACGCTTTCAATTTTTAAATACAGGAGAAATTCAGAAAGTCCTTTTTTTTTACTATTAAAAGGCTGTTTTACTGTCTAACGCTGTAAAACGCCTCACAACACATTTTTGTCAAAATAAATGATCACTGTATATTGTTAATTAATTCAAATAATGTAATGTTGATTTAGTGTTGTAGTGTGCGTGCTGCTTTATTTTATGTGTACTTATTTCAGTCTATTTGTGTTTCTTATGCAGAAAAAGACAAGAAACAATGGACAACTACATGGGGAACAAGACACTCACCCCCCAACAATGCATACCACTTACAAACTATTCTAGATTCTACATTATTTTGTAAGGAATTTACCTCTTATATTTTGATGCCAAAAAATATTCTGGACTGATATTTTGCACTGTTTAGCTCATTTTACACCGCTGACTGTGTTCATGTGCAATAAAATAGATTGCAGTCAACTGCACAATTCTCTTATGTTTTTCTTTTTCTTAACTGAAATGTATTCATCACTTGTATAGGTTAAATAGCTAAACAATAACAAAACGATTAATCGAAAAAATAATCGACAGATTAATCGATTATGAAAATAATCGTTAGTTGCAGCCCTAATTCCATTTGACAACGTTTCAAGTGAAACAAAACTGGTTTGCTGCTAAAAAATATGAAATAAAACAACAAAATTATCAGGCTGAAATAACAGACTCTTATTATGAAAGGCTCAATAATATGCATCAGATTTGTGTTTAGTTCCTTTTTCCCATCTGATATTTATAGTTAAAATATTTTTATATATTTGACCTACATTTCAGTAACATTTTAGGTTTGTATTAATAACACTCATCTTAGTCATAATAACACATAAATATATGCAGTAAAATATAATGCATTTCATTAACATGCACTTGTGTTGGAAATGGTAATAACATTTAATTTCTGCTGCTAACAATGTAATGGTGGCATGTCCATTATGTACGGGTTAGCAATAATCCAGTTCAAATTATGTTCAAAGATAGAAGCGTTTGTGAATTATATACCACAATGGCTTGCCGTAGCCTTGTAGCTGTAATGTGACCCGTATCTGCAGCGGTTCTGATCCATAGTGCTGCAGGATGCAGAATAAAGAGTTTGGTGGGGACTTTTCATCCGCTTGTAGAGTTTAGTCTTTCAGTTTTACGATCATCATCATCATATATTTTTCTGTGCGCCACTTGATCGCGAGACTGCTACCTGTTAGCTTTAGCATTAGCTAATCTGCGTGTAGCTGCACTTTTGATCCCAAAGTTTGGACCGGTTCTGCCTTTGCTGGTTCCTTTATTTTCCTCCACTGCATCCAGATGACCACACTGTGCGCCAGTAAAAAGCATTTTCTTACACGTAACTTACTTTTGTTCAATAAAGTTCTGGGGAAAATAGTAATTCAAAGATGTTGCACCCGTGCTACGTTTAAAAATAGACAGACACGCACAGACAGTTACAGCCCTGCTCCGATATGGAAGAGCTGGGGGAAAATCAGGACGTTAATAGCACCAACCATAGGTATGTACCAACTAGCGAGAAAAGCAAATTTTGATCTTTTTCTGCAGCGGTTTTAGTGCTTTTCGGTGCACCGCTGCTGGTACAGCGCCCTGTAGTGGCGCAACTCTGCAACTGCAGTTACAGTAACATCCATATAGCTGGGGGCAGAGTGAAATCAGGCTGGGGCGGCACAAAAATAGCTGGAGGCGGCCGCCACGCAAATTTGAATACAGGAAAACCCTGTATATGTGCTCCTTTTTTAACTTTGAGCACCCGCCCCTTCAAAGGTCTCTGCACGGCCCTGCTCTATCTGCTTCCTTTACAGCACCTGCTGAGCTCATTTAAAGGAGTCTCCTACCGTCTTCACACGGATGACATCCAACTGTACATCTCCTTTAAGCCCCATGAGATGTCTACGCTGCAGCTGTTACTCTCCTGCTTAGACTCCATTAAAACCTGGATGGTGGGAGCTTTCTACAGCTGAATGAAGATAAGACTGAGATCTTCATCTGTGCCCCAGAGAAGCTGGTTCCCAAAGTCAGAGACTCTCTTGGTCAGCTTGCTTCTCACACCAAACCCTCTGTCAGGAATCTTGGCGTGACCTTTGACCCAGCTCTCACCCTGGATTCTCATGCCAGTTCTCTTGTTGGCTCTTCCTTCTTCCATCTCAGGAACGTTGCTAAGCTGTGTAACGTGATGAAGGAGCCATTTCTACCCTAACAGCTGTTTCCTTTTGACACAGTGTCAGTGTGTCTGAAACAGCCTGAAGGTCATACAGTCGTTTCTAAACTGTTTACATTCCAGCATGAAGACAGAAGAAAGAAGAATGAATTCTTTCCTTTTGATTAATCAAAGAACTCTATTTTAATTAAGCTAATCCCTCAAAGTGTTAGTCGATATAACAAGATGTGACCGACCTGTGAAATTAAAATATTAATTATTTTATTATGATCTTAGAAATGAAGTAATGTAACTTTAAATGGTTCAACAGGACTCATTTCACGTAGTGTTAAAAGGACTTGACACATTTTTTCACTGATCCAATCAGAACCTTACAGATCTGACGGAGGCGTGCTTCTGACGGTGTTTGGTAATTTTCATTCAACAATAAACCAAAACATCCGAGGTATAAAACAGATGCCACGTCAGCTCTAATGCAGTTCAAAGCGTTCCAGAGCAAAGTGACGGAGTGGCCAATCCTGAACTTTAACTCT